AATCATCAGACTTTGACCCCGTGCTCTTTACAAGGAGCACAAACTTGGGGCTTCATAGTTGAATTTCAAAGTGGGAAGACTTTGGAAAACGAATAACGGGGGAAATGAGATGCAGATATGTAATCATGGTTTCACAGTCACAGTATTGGGCGGTTTGACTTTCTCATTATGAGCAGGAAGGGCAGTGACGATCAATAAATGATTCATGCTCAAGATGGACTCACATCTGCAGGGACAGAGGAGGCCTGTGACAGCTGGATCACATAGGAAACACGTCGCCTCCATCCTTCCTGGTAGATCTCCCCTCCCCTCCGAGGCATAATTAATTGAACGAACTGAATTTCACACACGAATTATTCAAGAATCTATCGATCGATATTGAACACCCAAGGCCTTTCTCTTAACCTCGCGTGGTTTGTAGTGAAGCAAGGAATATTAATGTCATCAGTGGAAAAGAAATCGGCCTAAGTTATTGCGTCTTTATCCAAGCATACGTTGAACAATCACTCATTTTGAATGCGTAAGAGAAAATATGCAGGACTGTAAAGTCCAAATCAGGAGGCTTTTAAACAGACATAGACGGGGATTGTTTCTATAAGTCCACTTATGGAAATCACAATCACAGTATTGTGGCGTGTATTCACCACAACAGTGGAAACGAGGATGAACGTATAGTCTTTGCAGGTGTGTGATGAGCCTGAGGGATCCACTCAAAGTAGGTCAGCTCCGGTTCACAGCTCCATACAGAGAGTTAAATAAATAACATTTCTCTGTGTCCGTATAACAGCGGGGTGTAGCCTGCACCACACAAAACACTCAGCACCAAACCAGGATGTCTGCTCTTGTCCGGCCGCTCTTTGTGCATGAGTTTATGTCCGTCTCTCTGTTCGGTGCCTACTGTAGCTCTAAAAGCTGCAATGATCGATTTCTTTTCTTTTCTACACTGAGCTTGGTTCAGTAATCAGGGCCCCCTTCCTCATCGATCGATCGATATTGATTACTAAATCCAGCGCCTGTAGCAAAGGCAGCGCACTATGGCGCCCCGTGCAGCCGGGACACGGCGAGAGCGACACCTGCCGACCGAAACGGCTCAAAGCAGGCGGTCAAGGAAGTGGCAGGACGTGACTCGCCGGTGGCAGGATGTGGAGAGAGAAATCTGAGCTTGTCGTGGAGAGAAAACCTCATTCCATGTGGTCAGTTTTATGCACTAATTGCACAAAAATGAGCATTAGATTTTTGTCACTTTAATCTTAACTTTTGAGGATTTAAAGAGAATAAACTCATCAGAATAATAATTATAACCCCTGACTAACAGTTAGTTTCCCAAGCATTTACCTCCCAAGATGTATGGGCTAGCCAAAATGAAATCTATTGACAGATTCTGAATCCTATTTCTGTAACTAGACAGATCCATTTTGATTTTACTTCCAGTAAATCCATTAAATAACACAGTAAGGCTAAAAAAAGGCTTAAACCTAGAAGAGAGTAGATAAAATAAGCAAGCATAAATGTACTGTGCCTGTTAATTTGATACTTTTTCAATCCAAGAGAAAAATGCTATAATTGGACAGAAACACCCCAATTAAAACACTTTTGGTTTTAGGACCAGAGGTTGTGTGTGTGTGCTTGAGTGTGTTGTTATACTGTACATACCTGTTCAAGGTCACTCATCTTGGACAAAGAGATGAAGAAAAGGGTGGAAGGAAGTAAATGTGTTCAAGTCAAAAGAAATGAACAACAACTGAGGAGTTAAACACTGAAGCAAAAATGACAGTATTGCTCTAGGATAAAAACAGGTTTTCTTAAAAAAAAAAAAAAAGGATGTTAGCATTTACTATAATAAAAATGTAATTAATTACACATCAGTTATATAAGTCAGAGTATGTAAGATATAGTGAAGAGCTTGTGCTCTATATATTGTTTTTCTTTAATGTGTGTTTAGACTCATTGTCCTGCTGGGAAACAAATCCTCTAGCTCACACATTACCCAGATAGAATGACGTGTCTTTGCTGAGCAGAGTAGTAACTTCTCTATAATCAGTGTGTAGCTGATCTAGTACAAGATCCTTTAACAAGAAGCAACTTTATTTTCATTGTGACACGAGGGGCCCCGGGCCGCTGCATTTGCACCGCCATCACGGGCAACTTGGGAGGGGGGGGGTTCAGCATCTTGCCCAAGGACACTTTGGCATGTGGACTGCAGGCACTGAGATTCGAACCGTCAAACGTCCAGTTGGGAGAGACGACTGCTCTACCCACCACACCACTGTCGCCCCCCAAGTAAAGCCTGTTTACATCTGGACATCTTTAAAACCACATCTGCAGACATCAAGGTTCTGACTGAACGTCTTACCTGTAATATGTAAACTAGACTAAACAAACAGACTAAAATTCTGGTATTGCTTGGTAAATGATAGCAGCTTTGTTGTTGAGGAAAGTGAAATTTGCTATTCCCCTGTCAAGGTAGCACATTCCCTAAAGCATACACAGCTATCTGTGCAGCTGGCAGATGTTCTGTTTTCATCAAGTTGTCAGTTTAATAAAGTTACTTTACAACTATTAATTTTAGAAAATAAAACTGTAGTTTGGTGCTGGTATTGCATTATCAATCACCAAAGACAACTGTTTGACCCTGGACATTTTTAGTTGAGTTGATTTCATTTAATCTCTGGCATGGACAACTGGAAAACATGAAACTTTTAAAAACATATCATTATATTTTTATTAGTCTGGTTTGAAGCACATACTATCCACTATATGTTCAGTAAAATAGTTGAAGCATTGGTTAAAACTTTATTAAAAGATGAAACATAAAAAACAATAATGAGAAACATTTCTTGTTAATGGACTCAGACAAAAATGTGTTTTCAAAGAGCCTGTTGTTATATTGATGAATGACAAATAAATCAATTTGCTAATAAAGCCGTGGTATGAGTCGGCCTGCCAGTATTTGTCCATGGAATTAACGAGTGACATTTAGCTTGGTTTGTCCAGAACACATGAAGAATTAAGGGTTTAAAAGCGCTTCTTATGTCATTATAATTAGAGGGACTCTGTAAAAGACAAAACAACAACAGATGCAGAGTTTTATATTTCTAGTAAAGACACAACAGTGTGAACAATTGCTTCACAAAAGCTTTATGTCCTGCTTGTCCTATCAGCTGTGACTCTACTCATTGTGACACTGTGACTATTTCAGCTAAAGTCCAACCCCTAAAATGACATCATCATCCTCCTGCTCATTGTCATAAGTACTTTTATTCCTATAATGAATCAAAGTATTAAACTGTATATGATGATATACACACTGTACAAATAAGCATGCATTTGAAAAATTTCTCTGTGGCGGATTACCATGTGTGCATTTGTGTGATATATAGAGCTGCAGTGTTGATGTGAAATATGAATATGATGGATGGGCCTGTGTGTAGGTTAGACATCTGTAGTAAACAGATTGGACTGCAATGGCTGATCAATGGTCTCTGTTCCACTGTAATTAGACACACAGCACCACTGCTTGGCTCCAGCCATTTCAGCACAATCTCAACCTCCCCGTCAAACACACACTGTTATGCAGACACAGTTGAGGGGGAAAACTCTGTCTTCGAATGCATCAAGACACACGCACAGTGTGAAAGTGAGACATTATTGAAGGCTAGTAAGGAAGTATCTGATGATCTCAAGGGTAGCAGGTGGAGACTCATGCATCTTTTCCTCTTTTTTTTCCAGTTTTTTTGTTTTTTGTTTTATTGAGACAGTAGGGAAGCTGAGAGGGACACAGTCTGTTCAGGCAGGATTCGATCCTAAGCCGCCAAGGGAGCATGTGGCTGAGGAGGTGGTGCCTTAACCTTCCACACACCAGCTCCTCAAGTCCATCTCTGGGCGCCGTTTCTGCCTTTTACCCTGTCTGCTGCTTTTCACCCTTCTCTTACAAATACTCCAAGTTACAACACACTTACCCACAATACAACACTCTTTTAACTATTAATTTCTGTGTTCGCTGCCTACAACCCCATGACCCCCTCAGACATCCCTCCCAAACAAACAAACAAACAAACAAAAAAGAGACCACTCGACCTGTTTTCTTTTTTTCTTTTGAAAATTGCTTTGTGTATGAGATGGGGGCTATAGCAGCCGGTGCGTGCACCTCTCGAGTGTTTGTGTTTGGGCATGGGGGGGTGGGGTTATAAATACCCTCTCAGAGCTCAATAGAGTGGGCTCCAGTGGGCTCTGTTTGAAGCAGCAGACTGTAGACCTGCTGTGTGTGTGTATGGGGGGGGGGGAATTCTGACCCCAGTCCCTATAGAGAACCCCCAATTCCTACAGCAAAGTCAGTCAATATCTCTCTTTCTCCTTCACTCTCTGCCCCTCCTTCCTCTTCACAGCTCCTCTCTTTGCTTCTTATACACTCACACAAATGCACACACATTGTCTTACTACTCCACCTTTTCAGTTCTTTTCTCTCCAACCTTTTTTCCCTGCGTCAACCCCTCCTCTATCTTTCATTTCCACACACACACACACACACACACACAATGCTTACTTTTGTGCAACAGTCACTCAGTCCCCTATTGCTTCACAAACTGCATTAATATTGAATCAAACAGCAGTGTCTCCAGCTAGCAGGCAACAGCAAGTCCCACTCCCCCTTTCCCTCCTCACCCCATCCTTCTCTCACCGCAGGCTGGCTCCCTGTCTGCACTCTGAAGGATGGAAGGAATATTCCCACTGGGCAGAAGGCATGGATTAGCTTTAAATCAACTTTAATATGGCAATAGAGATGGAGCTGTAGATTCTTTGCTGGTGCATAAACTAGTTTTATGTGTTTAAGTATTGGCTAATGACATATTTAGTTACTTTATTTCCTTCCACCTCTTGTCTTTATTATTTGAATCATGAAAACAATCACTTTTGTATATTTACCTTGCTCTGTGTTTTCTTTCCCCTCTTTGCCTCCCACTCTCATCCCCATCTCTCTGACTGCTGCCGTCCATACCAAGCCTGCAAGCGCAAAGAACAGGAGCAACACAAGGACCGCAACACGGCGCCCAAAAAACAGCGTCTAGTCTTCACTGACCTGCAGCGCCGCACACTCATTGCCATCTTCAAGGAGAACAAGCGTCCATCCAAGGAAATGCAGATCACTATCTCCCAGCAGCTTGGCCTGGAGCTCAGCACTGTCAGCAACTTCTTCATGAATGCGCGCCGCCGCTGTGTGGACCGCTGGCACGATGATCATGGTACCAGTTCTGGGCAGCCGGGCACTTCTGCCACCACCTTCTCCAAGGCCTGAGAGGAGGAGAGGGCCTTCAGAGGGTCAGGGAGCAAGGTTGGAACAACAGCAACATGGGAAATGGGCTGTGAAACCTGTCTATAACAACCCCACTTGGCCCAGGCCATCTGAATGTGTCCTCTGCCCAAAAATCCTTTGTGCCATGCAGTCATCATTTTTGTCAGTCAAAATTTCAAGTTCTCACCTGAAGGAAGCAGAAATCTAAAGGTGAATTGTGAAGTCAGGTCCACTCACATTACTCACACAAGGACAATCATTGATCCTGTCTTTTTTTGAAAGAAAATCATTTTTATGGCATCTGACAAAGTAAAGAGATACCAAAGATTTGATGTTTTTGTTGTAAGGTATTTGAATTATTCCGGGCCTCCTTCCTTCACCAGCCCTGTAGCCACTGATTCTGCTTTTTCTCCTCAATTTGCCTCATTTGTGTCTGCCTCTTTACTCCCCCTCACATCCCCTCTACGCCAGCACACGGAAGCAACAAGGGCAAAAGAACGGCAATAAATCTGACAACAGAACAGCACAGAGCCTTAATACCAGAGCCCCATCCGCTACACACAAGGCCATCAAAAAGAAAACAACACAGCCTATGAAAAAAACAACAAGGCTTCCAATTTTCCATGTGTACCTCCCCTCCTTCTGTAGTCTCCTTCATTCCTCAGCCAAAGGTATTCCCTGATGGCCAGCCATTTCAGAGAGCAGCTCAGGCTGATCATACAGCAAACTAATGAATTGAAAAATGAATCAATGCAGACAGAGAGCGCAGAGCCTTGACCCCTCCTGAAAGTGAAACTCAAGATCTTTGGCAGTAG